TATTTTCTCAAACCACATCTGTGTTGTAGCTGACATTGATTACTCCCATGAAATGATTAATGGCACTGTGCAGTGTGCAGCACCTGCAGCTGGGTGGCTCTGGACCAGCTTGTCAGAAGCCTGTAAAGCCATGAGGCTGGCATGTGAAGTGGGATGGAGGGGTGGTTTTGTGTCGGTTTAATATCACCAGCATGTGTGTGTACATGTATGTAGGTGAGTTCTGTGACCATTCAGAAAATCAAACCTTCACATTAAACCCAGATATCCACAGTTCTAATTGTTTCATTTAGTCAAGATTGGGAGATTAAAACGCATCATAAATCCACAGCCCTGTGATTTTATAGTGGTGAAGCATGCAGCTGCAGGTTCAAACCTTGGTTTGAACCCTCAGTCGTCACAAACACACTAGATTTCACAAAGGGATTCAAGATATCTACAAATCAAATCTGTTCAGATTCACTTCTGGAAAGAGCTCAAAGAGGTGCTGCCATTTTATTATTCAAGAAGGCACCTTATAGATGGCTGCATTCCAAACAGCTGCCTGTGACCCTGAACACAGGCTGCAGGGCCATAAAATACACCTGACACATGATAGAGTGATACTCACTGAGGAAAGTCAGGTGGATTTAGCAAAAGCTTTGAGATTCATTGAATTAACTTTATGAATATTGTCGAGTATGTGTGAGTTCAGTTCAGTTCAGAGGACACTTGCCATGGCACGCACATATAAATCATTGCAGATTGCAGGAAAATGAATACATGTTTTAATTTTGCCTCAGGGGAGGGCATGGCGCTGATTTCTGTCAGTTTGTAACAGTCCTCGGATTTGACTCATAGTCTGTGAAACACAGTCAGATAGAGGGCAAAGCTGCAACAAGGCTGGGTGTCTTTGTTTATCAAACCATAACAGACATTAGAGAATAATTTACATTTACATCAAAGAAAATAAAACACGTTCATAGTGATTTTAATAATTTAAGTACAATTTTAATTCGGTTTCGACGGTTTGATTGAAGCTATTAGATGATTAATAATTTAGTCAAACTTCTCTTTTTGAGACAAACATGACAAATGGTTTACTGGTTCCTGTTCACCAGTGAGAAAACATTCTGGGCGACATTTTGCTGAAATTTTTATGAGAAAACTAGAATGTCACTCCAAAGAGTGCATATCCTCCACCAAGGCCAAACCGTCCCCTTGAATTCAATCAGTTTCCATAAATGTGTCCTATTATTTTCAATTATTCTCTGGGAAATTTACAAAGATGTAAAAACAAACTACCCATCTCACAATTATAATATATATAATCTGGATCTGCCTCCTACTCCGGTTTCAAATCAAAATTAAATGGATTCTTCCCTGACCCATTCCACATCCTTCCACCAAGTTTTGTGGTAATCCGTCCAGTACTTTTTGCAAAATCTTGCTCACACTCATTAATTGATGTGCATTGGTTCCTTACTGTTCCTCAACAAAGAGCTGTGTCTTTAACCTGATTCACCTCTACAGCTGCATTAAAACTTTCCCCTCCCCTGTGATTCAGACAGCTCCCGATGGTTGGAAGAACTCAGTGCGTCACAACCTCTCCCTGAACAAGTGCTTTGAGAAGGTGGAGAACAAAAATGGGAACTCGTCCCGTAAAGGCTGTCTGTGGGCTCTCAATCCTGCCAAGGTGGGGAAGATGCAGGAGGAGCTGCACAAGTGGAGACGCAAAGACCCCATCACTGTTCGCAGAAGCATGGCGAAGCCAGGTGGATCCGCTCAATACACTGAACAGCAAATCCATTAAAGGAACTGAAAATAAAAATGTTTAAAATTAAATTTGATAAAGATTGATTTTTACCATGAATTCATGTCAGTGAAAGATTCAGTGATCAAAAATGCTCTGCACAGATGTTTGACCTTTGAATAATATTTTTGCTGATCCAACCTTTGCTTAAAATTCATCAAGTATTATTTGATTAAAACTAAAAATCTAATTTGATCCACGCTTTTCTCTGCAGAAGACCTTGATCGTCTCGTGGGAGAGAGACCAGACAAGCTCAGGTCTTTACCTCCTTACACCAGCTCATCCCTCTTATCCAGAGTGACTCCATTTTACAGCACCTCCTCGTCTTCTTGCAACTCTGCCCAGCTCCAACCACTCTGCCAACCCGTGCGGCGCCCACATTATAACCATTTTCCGCAGCAGCCCTGCTACCTTCCCCCCACCACAGCTCACCCCGGCAACTCATTTAACCTGTGCTCACCCTGTGGACAGCAGCCTGCAGCTAGAGGCCTGAACTCCCCCCTAGCAGGCAAGATGGCACCAGGTTATAATTCTCCTCTGCAGGCCCAGTACAGTGTTGGCCCCAGGAGTATGCAGGACTTACTGTTGGAGGGAGATGCCATCTATGATATTGACACGTTCAACCCCAGTCTGACTGACCTGCAGCTGCAAGGTATGACAGTGTCCCAGAAAACCACACATTCACATTATCAGGGAATAATAGCTCACAGGTTCAAACTGTTTCAGTTTGTGTCGCCTGATTTCAAATCACTTAAAACTCTTTGACATTTGACCCCCAAAAGCCGATCAGTTCTACTTTGACTCCAATTGAATGTTTGAACTAAACTTGAACAAGTTCCTTCAAGGTGTTCCTGAGATGGTGCATTCACAAAAGCTTGGTTTATAGGGTCACTATGACTTTTAATTTTGACCTTCATCCTCCAAAAATGCAAAAACTGTGTTTTGAGAGGTCATAAGCAAACTTGACTTTTGTCAGATTATCTTTGAGTTCATTGATGTAGATGAAAAACTTCAGTCTCTCCCTGATGCGTGTTGTTGACTGTTTCTCCTGCCACCTCTTCATACGGGTTTCTTGTTCTGAAAGACTCTTTGCCTGCCACTATTGACTCAGCTGTGCTTCTGGGTCTTCAGTTTCTTTCGTGCCATGAATGTAATATTTGATATTAATGAAATTATTCCTTGTTTGATTATTTTTTTAATAAATACTGTGTTTTGTATGAAATATTGGAAAGAAGATGAGGAAATAAAATCATTTGTATTGGTTTTTGTTTGACAAATTGATCCAGAAGTTCCTCACTGAACCTGTTTTAAGATAAAAAAAATATTTGCAACAGGGAAATTGATATCATTTCAATCTGGAATATGAAGAATTTATCTTTTCTCCTCCAACAGCGAAATTATACATTTGTATGAATTCAGCATTTTTGTATTTTGTTTTTGTTTTAATACTTTCCAAAACCCACCTGAGGTTTCCTCTTTGGTTTCAGGCAACCTCTGGGAGGAGTTGAGGGAGGACGCCCTGTTCACAGATCCACATGTTACTGCTGCATCTCTGTCCACTACCCCTGTCCTGCAGGAGCCCCAGGTCCAGACCGGCTGCCTGCAGGTGATGCCGCCTGTGGGTCGATGTAAAGCAGAGTATGAAGACGAGGACGCTGGCGGCGGACGAAGCTTGGATCAGCACGGCTGTTCGAATGGACTTCATCCTGTGGCTTATTCAGGGGTGGAGAACCTGGCTGGTTATCTGACCTCCTGCACCACATCCATCTCCTTAATGTAAAGACCTGATGGCTAATGAACACTGATATTTAACAGAATGTGAAATATTATAACCAGCAGCTTTGTGCCAAAGTGTTAGTGTGGTGGTTATTTAACCCATGAGATCCTCTGTGGAGGAAATGATTTAAACATATTCACTGTTCGCATCCAAAGAAACATCTCTTATTACACAGTTTTATCAATTTCACAACACATGTATTTCCCCCATTCTGTTTATTTACAAGAGCTGATATATGGTTAATTAACAAATGATATAAATTATAATTGTAATAAAGTTCCTTATTGAATATGTTTTGTGAAATTTATTTGTGAATTTAGTTATTTATTTACCTTTTATAAGCCTCATTGTCACATTGTTGTATAATTGTTTCATTATTTTGGATGTTTAAGTCACCTGAAAGTACTAAATGTCTTATTGTCATTTGTAAATAAATGTTCCTATCAAATTAAACATGAATGTCAATTGTATGGTCTGCCCTTTATTTTTGATCTGATAATGAATTGATTTATTTGCTGTCTGGGTTTAGATTTTCCTTATGAGAGTTTACACAAACACACAAATGAGGAAGTCCTCTTCTAAAGCACCTTGATATCAAATGATATCAAACTGCCAAACCAGTTGTAACTGCAGTCAACACAACAATCAGTCTCTGATTAGACAACTCACATTAGATATATTAAATATGATATTTTATAAAAAACAAGATTTTGTGTTTTATATTATATTTTACTATATATGACATAACTGGCTCCACTGTCATTGGATCTGTAGAAAACACTTGTAGGAGTCGTCATGTCCTCAGTGTAGTGAGACTGTTGTTACAGAAGATGGCAGCAGAGACAATTAGTTCTTCCTTCATTATGAGGCCTGAGAAACGCTGAGGTAAAACACTTTCAATTACATTAGGTCAAATATATATTATCTAAAAATCTTTGGGTTACACAGTTTCAACAACCAGTTCATGTATAAGTATTATCATAAACTGGTTTTATTTACCATCTAATATCTAAGAGTAGATTAAATTTACTACATTAAATAATTAGACACACAGCCCTTTAGGCCAGTTAATACAGCTTGTGAATATTAGACATTGCATTCATATACATATTCATAGATTCTGGATTGTTTAATGGGGGAGACAAAGAACACATTTTAATATATATATTAGGCAATTACAGAAAAGTGTTTTTCTATATCTTTTATATCACCAGTTAGTATAATGAAACTAAGACTCTTAATAATATTTCTTGTTTTGATAATATATTGTCTGTTCAGCATAACTTTCAACTTTATTTTTCTTGTTCTTTGTTTCATCCTTTGTGAAAAAAAACACACAATGTATATACAATTTTTGAAAAAATCCCATATTTATTGCAGTGATGATATCTTGGCTGTCAAAACTTTACATACTTTTTTTTATTTAAAACATTTATCATAAAGTATACATAGTTCTTTAGTACTACACAGAACATACTGCTTATCAAAATTTGTATCTGACCTTTAAATTTGTCTAATGTATGTTTTCTGACACTTCAAAATGGCTATTTATTTAAAAAATACTCCTGACGTTAGTAGTAGTACTATGAACCAGAGGACGTGAAACGAATGACACATTAACATAGACAAAGTACACATCTGTTTGTCATTCGACTGAACAATGACAACGCTCACAGGAGGAGGACTGAATCATTCAGACGAGAATGACGTCTACAAATCTGGGAAGCTTCAGGAGTAAAAATGTAATGAGATTCTATACAAACTATATAAATATACATCCAAAAGGATGATTCAACTTTTTTTTGTTTTAACTGAACTCTCTCTTTGTCTCGTGATGTGATTCAGGACAAACGTTGTCTCCTTCTCCTCTTCACATTCACGACTATGAAAACACACAACATGTAAATGAATCCTGGTTTCCCTGATGATCAAGTGGAGCCCACATATACACACTGAAATTGACAGTATGTACAGACGCTGCATGTGTTTACTGCCCACACACACACACACACACACACACACGAACTGATGCAAACAAACTAATGCAAACTGATGATAAAACTGGCAGAATTCAATGCTCCGGCAAAAGAGAGGCAGAGGGAGAAACGTGACTGAATACCTGAATTGAAATAACATGTTAAAATAACAGGAGTGGTTTGTCCATCAGTTGTGGTCCTGACGTGGTACCTGGATCATGGAAAATGTCTAGAAGAGAGGGGGAGTAATAGGACGGAGGGCGGTGTGTCTTCCTAAGGCCCCCCACTGTAGGAGTAATCCGCCTTGTTGTGCATCACCAGCTTGTTGTCCACAAAGTAGAAGCTGTCAGACTGCGTCTCGTAAGGATGCAGGATCATCTCACGCACTGACAGAGAACAAGTACACAACAACATCAAATCCTGTTAGATCTGATAAAACGTCTATGTGTGGGTGTATTTGTCTCCTGTGATTACGTGTTTGTGTTTGTGTGTGTGTTTGTGTGTGTGTGTGGGGCACACTCACTGATTTCCTCTGACAGTGCGGGGAACTCATAGATGTGCTCGCACGTGTTCTTGCTGCTGGGCATGCAGAAGCCAAACTCGAAATCAAAGCTCTTGAGCAGCTGATCGCGGAAGTAGTGTCTCTCGATCATGCGGAAGTTGTTGATGGGGGTGTCGCCCACTGTGAACTCCACCCTGCACAGACACAACGGGAGAAATGAAATTTACTGAACGTTGAACTCATTGAAAATACAGATGATTAAGAAATATGATGAGTCAGATGATCACAAACTAAGAGTTCACCTTTTAAATACAATAACCCACCAGATGGACTCTTTGGCTTAAAGCACTACTGCGCCCCAAAAATATAGAAAGTTACAGTAAATGATGTACTGCATCATGCACTTTACCCACAATGCCATGCAAATAGCGGTTACAAACTGTAAAATGGTTTTATGGTATTTTTACTGTGTATTTTGTGGTATTTAGCTGTAAAAAAACATATATATATTGTGTATATATAATTATATTATCTATTTTGTTTGGAGGCTTTAATCACCTGACCTGAATCATTGTAGGATCTCTGTGAATGGGAAATCACCAGTATCACTGCAACAGCTATAGAATTGGTTCAGATTTGTGGCAGTGATTCTAAAGTGCTTTCAAAACAAAAGGTATTTTACTACAGATGTGATATTCCTGTTTTTATGCCAGCATAAAAACAAAGCAAAAACCTTACAATTCTTCTGAGCATGTTTTCTGGGTATTTTTTGCCTTTATTTTATTAGACACTGTTTAATGCAATTGAAATGGGGAGAGAGACGACATGCACACACAAGCATCATGTTCGTGTCTTTTAAAGTTTGGTTCAGTATATCTTACACTAATTCTGAATTTGTAAAAGTTGAAGTTATTGTCATTAATAACTGGTCAAAGGAGAAGAATTGTAAGTGTGCATATCTATGATCAGAGCTCTACAGGCTTGCCCTGTTTGTGACCTCAGCTGTTCGATGATTTGGTCAAACAGGATTCGCTATGCAGACCAGAGCGTCTGCATCTTCAAAGTTGTTTTCATGATCTCATTTTCCATCCAGAATTATTTCCAGGGGTGAACTAAACTTTTAAATCAAAGTTTTTCACAGATTCTGCTGCTCCGCAATTTCTCCATCATATGCTAATAGTCCACTGTGCCGAGCACGTCAGTGGGAGTCTTTTGAAAAACTGGATTTGTATTTTTTGCAGTGGGAAAATATTGTATCTGTCTAGACAAAAAAGAAAAAAAAGAAAAAGGAAACACGTGTGACTAAATCTAAAAATTGAATAAGTCGAACCTTGCAACCAACCAACACTTTTCTTTTATTGCCTCTGTTTTTCCCTAGTTTGTCTAACTAGGGAATTTGTTTTCCACCTGTCTGTTCAGCCAGTCTGACATAATCTTAATGATGTCACTGTAGGACCAGAACTCATTATTAATAACGTATCTAAGTGAATACAACTTCTGACAACAATGACTCACTATGACAAATGATCCTTTAAATTGATCTTCAACATGGATCTTTTTTCGGTGCTGCCAATGTAATTTCATGCTGCACAGAACACATGATATCTAATATACATTGATCTTTTTCATTAGATCTAGATGAGTCAGTTGTTGGTTTGGACTGAAATCTGCAGTCAGAGTAGGAGTCTGATGATAAACACCACTCAGGAGCTCTGACAGTTATTTGCTGCCTGACTCAGGAGGTGGGCTGCGTCGCTATGTATGTTCACACTCATCATCGCCAGCCTGTCGCCACACACTGAAGCCCACGCGCCTCCTACCTCTGCTGTGTGTCTAGCAGCAGGGGTTGAATGGACGTTATTGCATCACTGTGCTCGTTCAAGGACAAAAGTCTCAAGTCTTCATCTCTCGTGTGGAGGAAAGAAACACATAGTGAACTTACGTGGCTCCAACCTGCCGCAACTGCAGGAAGGCTGGGGTGAACTGGTATCGCACGAAACGGCCGGCGTTTGGGTCACAATGCTTTTTACCTCCCGCTAAACAGAGAAAAGAAAAGAAAAAAGCAGTTAGAGCAATAAAATCCAACTTCTCCAAATCCTTGTTTCACTAAATTCCTCAAGTGAGATAAATGTAGCTATAGCTCATTATACAAACAGACAAAATAAAGCTGACAAGAAAAAAAAATCCATTATTATATTTGCTATTATTATTTTTGTTGTATTAGCATATCCTACACTAGGCCATGGGACAAGGAAAAGATCATACAATACAATTTGACATACAGTTTTAAAGGATACATGAACTCAATCTGGAAAAGGTGTGTAACAGTTTGTGCGTCAGGTTTGACGCTGACCTGGAGTTGGAGGTTTAGTGATCTCGAACAGGACTGTCCCTGTTTCCATGTCACGGATCTTAAACCTGGTGAAGTCGATCATGTGGACGTTTTCTTCTGGAGAACAAAGATAATCTGAAAAATAAGAAACAGACAGGAAAGGAGCCTTTAGACTTTATAACACACAATTATACTACACACTTAACACCCTTTGAATAAAGGAAACTTTGTATCAGGCAGCAATTGTACTTAAGACGCCTCTGTGACCTTTTATTAATTCTCACCTCTGTAACTTCACAATCCAGGGAAACTATTTCCCTTATGTTAACTAACGAGAAACCATTGTCATGTATGTAACAACAAACAAATAACAAAGCTAAAATCACAAATTAGCCTCAGAGGATAAACATCGTAAATCCATGATTGTAATGTGGAAAAAACCCTTTAATGGGAAACAATGAAGAAACCTCAGGGAGAGGAGCAGAAGAGGGATCTCTCTGCAGGATCAACAGAAATAACACAGTATCAAGTATATACAGCTCATATTTACTGCAATACAACACAACAGATGGTGCAGTTACTATGTGTAAATAGTGGTTTCATTTGTTTATTATTTCAACCTTTGGCATGTATTAGTTTTTATATTTTCCTACTTTGTTTTATGTCTCTGGTGTAGTTAAGTTATGTTCTGAGTTTTCTTTTTTTCTTTTTGTTCATCAAAACAAATAAAAAAATCCAGTTTTTACTTTGGTTGTAGTTTGAAGTATTACATTTGTAATCTTAAACTTCCAACATTTTATATCAACACACACTTGCACCTCCTGACTCCTGAGAACTGGATAGTTTGCTTCATACCCGTGATACAGTTACTTGAACTTTACTTTTCTCTGAATACATTTGTTTTTTCATCTGACAACAGATCATCAAGTCCAGTGCACACAGACCCAGTGGAGGAGTGTATCAGTATCCTGAGCAGAGGGACAGATTTATACACGCTGGCACTGTATGTGTGTGTGTGAGAGAGAGAGAGCGAGAGAGAGAAAGAGAGAGGGAGAGTGTGTGTGTGTGTGTGTGTGTGTGTGTGTGTGTGTACTCTCTCTCTCTCTCTCTCTCTGTAAGCATGGGTGAGACACTACCCTCCCAACAGAGCAGGATTAGGCCTAAGAGGCTTATTGTGTTTTACCATCACATGGACCAACTGGTTATCAAACACACACACACACACACATACACACATGCACCCAGTATCTCATTAGGGTTATTATTGGCAGTCTATGTTGCATAAGCCTTGAAGAGACTTTCTTACGGCTAGTTTCACATGTAACATGTTAAAAAAGACAAACACGGAACATCAACTGAGGTCAAACGTTACGTTGACTTTATCACCAACACACACGAAGGACGATCTGTGTATTTATGTTCAGGCATATGGTCACAAATACGCTCACACTGTTACATCTTCTGTTTCTGAGGGTTAGGGAGCAGATGGGCCACGCCGGCTTTAGCCACCTGCTTGAAGGTATTTATAGACCTTTTCATAAAGTACAGTACACTGTAGCTGACACCTTGTACAAAAATGTCGCTCTTGTGAAACGGCACCATTTAGAGCGGATGGCATATTTTGAGCGCTCGTGTAAAAGACAGATGAATCGAAACAGAAATCTACAAGTTTCTTGGGCTGTGACAGTCATGCAGAGAAATGCAACTGATTTATTGGATCATTTAAATGCTAATATATTATTTACATAAGAGATGAGGTCAGGCTTCATCGCTGTCCACCTACAGGCATGACTTTACAAATCTTATCACCATGTTAAAGCAGCAGAGCAGTGAGAGTGTGCTGGATCAGTGCTGTGACACGAAAACTGATCTCAGTAAGTTTATTTATAAAGCAGCTTTCAAAAGGAGAACATCACAGAGCTTCACAATAAAATAAAGCAACAGACTGACAACTTGAGCTTTAAGTCAATATTATCCTTGTGACACTGAGGTTCTGCTGTGATGCACGGTTGGTCAGGTGGTTGATTGGAGGTTTGAATCATGTAAATCACATCTTTTACAAATCAGCAATGCCCTACAGCATTCAAAATAAGGTAAAGAAATAAAATGTATTTTGTATAAAGTTTTACATCTCTAATGCTTACATGGCCTTTTATATAAAAGTGAAGAATGTTATGTCTTCTTCTTGACTTGTGTTATCACAATTTTCACGTCTGGATGGTCACTGATATGAAAGAAATGTCTAAAAGTAAAGTTGTTCGTATGACGACAAGGAACAATTCAAAGTAACGGTACGGGAAAGTGGAGATTCTACATTTCTGTGCATGTGTGCAGAGTATGCACATATATGTATTTGTATATGTGAGTGTACGTACACTTGCTGCTGTTGCATCTTTCTCCACACACACTGCAGCGTGCACAGTTAGTGAGTTCATGTTAATGTACTGTCGATATGAGCGCAGTGTTTCCATGGTGAACGTAACAAGACTGGTGAAGAGATTTGCACGTAAAGCTTCTCTGGCTCAAAAACGCAGTCTCCTTATGCTGCCTTCCAAACTGCAGTAAGAGGGTTAGCGGGCCTCCGCTTGATGGAGTGCCCTCTAGTGCCAGTTCATTTGATGTGAGGCGCTTATCTGCTCTGAGAATATTACTATAAGCCTACTGTTCATCTGGGACTGTGTTTTTCTGAAGCAACTGTAAGAAAAGAAAATTCACATGCTATTTATAGAGTGACTGCATGTGGCCTGAGTCACTGCAGAGTTAGTTTAAAGTGACCAGAAGAATTTATGACTAGAAGATAATAAAAACATCATCAAATACTCCTAAATAATAATAATACATGATAATACTGTACAGAACTACTCTCTACAGCTTACAAATATTGACACTGCACATCTCTTCACCACTTAGAGCACAAATATTAACAATACTTGCATCTATAATAGAATTTATACCCAGTAATACCTTTTGAACTTATTTTTACTGCTCCTGTTTAATATGAAGGTCTCCTTAATTTAAGAAAAACTATCAATACTATTTCATCCTTAACACAATTCTCACAGTGGAATACTTAATGTTAAATGTTATGTTGATTACATAAATTAAGTTTAATAATAGGTTTAATAAAGGGTTGATAAAAATATTTATGAATAATCTGTAAAACTGCAACAGAATATCTGCATATGACACAACTTTCTGTATTGCCTTTTAAGCTAAATAGATGTGCATCATAAACATATTCAAATTATTTTCATCTAACTTGATTAAACCACAGATTGTATATAAAGATGGTCGAAGAGTCTCCACTTCCTCCCACTGTCCAAAAATGAAGCCAAACTATCCCGGATAAGGACCATCTTGCACATTCAGAGCCAGATAGCATCAAATAACTAATCAAAACATAAATCAACACTTGGAGAAACATCAGTGTGATAAGAACTACCTAAAACTACAGAAAACATATTTGAGGAAAGTTTATTTGACGTATACTTTCACTTTTTATTTTGGTCCACGTCCCATCTACTAACGTGGGGGAGGCAAGATTTATGACCTACACTGCAGTCTGCCACCAGAGGGGGCGATCAAGAAACTTCTGGCTTCCCTTTTGGAAAAATGTCATGTCATCCAACTTTATATATAAATTCTACTGTTTAAACATTTTCTCAGAGCACCAGTGCACCAGTGCACCAAACCACATAGTCATAAGTAATAAATCCTCTCTCATTGTAAATTACAGTCTGCCAAAATAAAATAGAAAATCTGTTGGCGCTGTGCTCTGAATTCATCTCGTGTAGCTATCAGTGAGCTCGCCCTCTCTGTGGGCAGATGACCGCGAGATGTATTTTGTGAATCAGACACAACTACTTGCCAAACCTTCTGAAAAAGACAGATGGAGTGTTTAATCTGTTAGCACAGCCAACAAAGTCACTTTCACACAGTCCACTTCAAGAAATCCCACATAATCGCATCACACCTACAGTCACATGAAGCTCAACAAACCACAAACCCTCTCTGTAAACGTCTACTACTGAATCTGATCAATGTATCCACAGGCTGCAGTTAATGACCAACCAAGGCCTTGTTTCACAGTGATAATAGATGTATATAGGCTTCCAGCTGGGGTGGTTGAGGAACTTAATATGCAATATTTATCAAATGTTAGATTTTAATTTCTGAAAAGATATGATAGAAGAATCCACCAACCTCTCAAACATAATTAATTTACACATGATCCATGACAGAATATAAATTAAATCAATGGAAACCATATTTTACTCCTGGGATTTCTATGATGGATATAGGCATAAGTGATTAAATGCAAATAACAAAAATCATATTAGTTCACAGTTATTGGAGATGTTATTGAAATGTGCACAAACACTACCATGATTACTGAGAATAATCGACAGACCTCATTACGGAAGCTTCTCATTAGGAATGTGTATCCTCGAAATGTGGGAGAAGAAACTGAGAAATAATTCCAGAGGCCAGACAAAACATTGAATCACACTTGTGCAAATATGAAGAACTGTTAAAAGAAGAGTGTGAAAGTTTGAGAAACTTTTTCTTGTTTGAGAAAACAGATCGCACTGTGTCATGTCTGTTTGTCCTGCAAAGGGCTACAGCCAGCAGCCAGTTAGCGTAACTTAGCCTAGCTATGAAATAGTCTACATAAATTTCCCAATTTGCTTATTTTACCCTTCAGTTTTTTTTTTTTATGAATTAAACAAATGAAATGTCAAAAGTTGTAAGCGTTAGTGGCGCTTCCAGTCTTTATGCTGAGGTAAGCTAACTGGCTATTAGCTGTAGGGTCATATTTTTTTCCTTGAGTTAAGACTTTTTTTTTCTGTTTAGGCATGTTAGCAGTTACTTCCTGTTTTATTTTGTTGTCTCTTATTTCAGAATACTTGACTTCCGATCTTTGTCTCATTCACCCTGCGACCTGCTGATTGTTTGCCCTTATCATTTTCACCTGTGTCTTGTTTTTTCCCGTACTCATACCCTGTTTCCCTGACCTCAGTGTCTCATCAGTTCCCCTATGAACATATCAGCATTTCTACTGTGATCATTCTTTAAGTAAGCTTTCTTTGGACCCAGCTAGGACTCTCGTAAAGATTGTTTTTAAACTCTCAGAG